TTCCTCCCAGGACTTTAAAATAATAGTCAGAGTCCTTTGCTTTGCCTGGAAATGTTTTTCCTTTCTCTGTGTCCTCCTACATATGCTAGTAATTTTCAGCAAAGTTGGGTTTATGTGAGTTTGAATTGGACAGATATGAAATAAGAAATTTAATTCAATCTCATTTTATGAGCAAACTTGGAAGTATTTATTATCTTCCCAAATTTAAAAAGGGTTTTAAAAATTAATGTGATTACTTAATTAATGTATAGGTCAGGAGTCATCAAACTTGCAGGCAAATGAAGGATCAAAGCTGCACTTAGGCCACGGCCATGTGGGGTCAGCGCTTTGCCAGGTAAACAGAGTCTCCTGTGGGTTTCCATGAGCACTGGGGAACCGCACCATTGCTGATGGGCTTTGGAACACAGGCTGGTGATTCTAATGTAGCTAAAATTTTGTTTATGTCTTAAAGCAATTTCCTCCCAGTGTTATGTGTTGGTCCTAGGGGATGACTGGGAGGGGGGGGGGAATGATCCTGGATAAATAAATTGGGAACAGAAGTTAGATGTGCTTGGGGGCTGTGGAGGAAGCCCAAAGGCCCAGACTGCTGCACCAGGTGACTCCAACACACTGTGGGAAAAAAGCCTGTACAAAAAGAGGGGGCTGCAAAGGTGAGGCCTACGCAATGGCCGCAGACACAGGCCCCCCGACAGGCACTCCCTTAACCTCTGTGCTTGCTTCTAGGGAAACCCGGACTTCATTTGTGTGAATGCTGAATGACACAAAAACTTCGGAAGAAAAAAGTTACAAATTGGGATCACTCTGCATGTCTCTCTCTCTCTCTCTCTCTCTCTCTCTCTCTCTCTCTCTCTTTTGGGAGGGGAGCAGGGGGTGCTGGGGATTGAACTCAGGGGTACTCAACCACTGAACCACATTTTGTATTTTATTTAGGGACAGGGTCTCACTAAGTTGCTTAGTGCCTCGTTTTTACTGAGGCTGGCTTTGAACTCACGATCCTCCTGTCTTAGTCTCCTGAGCCACTGGGATTACAGGCATGTGCCACCATGCAGAGCTTGCATGATTCTCTTGTTGATAAAGACTTTCTGTTTTCAGAGGGTTTTTAAAAACATCATGTTCAGCTCATCTTGAGCCTGTGACGTAGGCAGGGTGTGGGGTAATTCTCACTTTATCCTCATGAACTTGAGGTGCTTAGCAGGTATGCTAAATCACTGCTAGAAGGTAGACAATCAGGAATAAAAGGGTGGCCTTCAGACTCCTCCTTCAACATTCTCAGGGCCTTCGGAACCACAGGGCTTTAATTATTGCAAAACTCTTAAAGAAGATTACTCAGCCAAAACTCTTAAATAGTGGGGAAAAATGAAGTCATGGTTGGTTGACTTCAACACTCTGAATATTGGGATCATTTTCAAAACTGAATGTATCTAATGAAAATGAGATTACTTTTTAAATTTTCTTTGAAAAATTATTAACATTTACATGTGATAAAATTCCTAGACTAGAAAGGGAAATGTGAGAGGAGGCGATCTTCTTTCCCTGCCCCAGTGCTGCGGCTGCCACTAGTTTCTTGAGGGAATTTCCAGGATCCCTTATATATCATAGGACAGTATATTTTATGGTTTAGATCACAGACTTATACACCCAATGTGAGGAAGCATGTGCACATCAGTTTATACCCTCCTTTTTTAAAGTATGATGGCATATTATACAGTCTATCCTGTGCCTTAGTTGTTTTTTCACTTAATGACGTGTCTTGGAGAATATTTTAGAGTGTTTTTGTTTTGTTTGGTTGGTACCAGGGATTGAACCCAGGAGCACTTTACCCCCAAGCCACATCCCCAGCCCTTTTTATTTTTTATTTTGACACAGGGTCTTGCTAAGTTGCTGAGGGCCTTCCTAAAATTGCTGAGGCTGGCCTTGAACTTGTGATTACAGGTGAGCGTGTGTCACCATGCCCTGCTTTTGGAGAGTTTTCATGTTGGTACTCGAAGACCTCATAACCTTTCTAATAGTTGCTTAGTTTGTCGGTCATTGTATGGCCACACCTTTAATTCACTGAAGACTGAGGGAATTTGGAGAACTTGCTATTTAGGACTGGTCTAGCACTCTCTACTCACTGTGCCTTTGGCAAGGAAGTATATTGACATTGTCAAAAACAACAATTTGATATTATGAGGTCCACTGTAGATGACAATGCCCTACCTGTCTCATCAAAGCACTTTTAATTTAATTCTTTTTTTTTTTTTTTTTTAAGACTGCTTTGCTTTGCCCCAATCAAAAGAGAGAACTGCTTTGCTTTGTCCCAGCCTCAAGAGAGAACTGCTGTGAGTATATTGCATTCTAGCCCAAGGTAGCTGATCCTGGCTTCCTCACCCATGTGTGCTCAGGGGGAGCAAAGCAGAGAGCTGGGGCTGGTGGTACCTGCACACTGCCTGCCTCCTGCTGCAGGCCTCCCCCACCAGCAGGCCACAGAGCCTCCTGGAAAGCTGCCTCCTGGCCTGGGTCACATTGCTTACACGCCACTGCCTCGCAGGCCAGTGTTCCCAACCTTAAGCCAATGCACATTTATAGAACAATCGCATGTGATCCTGGGGAAGGGACAGTGGGCAGAGGGCAGTGCTGAAAAGTGGTGACCTCAGGACAGAGGCCTCTCCCGCTTGCTGCTCTCCGGGCTAAGAGGATACTGGGTAAGTCGGTCTCAGGTCGATGGCTTCATTCCTTTGGGCAGTGTGTGGCTTTAGACTGTGTTGGCTCCGGGAGTAGAAAGACACACACATTTCTTTCTATTTTCCCTTGTAAAGCGAAATTAAAGGCACATCTGTGCTTCTCTCCTTCCCATCACCTCATCACCTCCTAAGCCAAATGAACTACTTTTTTTTCCCCAAATACACTATTAGTTGCTCTTTCCTAATACATTACTAGCAGAACAGGGCCCCATTAATCTCAGCCTTGATCTCTTCATTGTAAAATGAGGGGCTGGCCTGGATGATTACTGAAATCTCATCTGGACTCTGTGATGATTCTGTTCATTCTCAGTTGTATTTTCAAGTGTTTGTGATTTTTGCAAAATGAAAATTCAAGAGAGTTCTTAAGACCCTAATAGGCCAAGACTCTGCACATATATTTACACACATGATTGTGTTGATCTTGAGCTGTTTGCACATGTATTTCTCTAGACTCTCACAGGCATCTTTTCAGAACCGTGTCTGACGTGTGGCTACCAATTTGAGCTGCCTTGTGATCTCAGTAGGACTGTTTATAACGGACTCCATTTATAACGGAGTCCGTTATAACTGAGTCATCAGGTGAAAGCTGAAATTAGGCAGGATTCTGAGCTTCAGGACAAAGTCCTGTGGTTCAGTTAAACACAGTGGAGCATGTGTATGCATGGTGTGTGTGTGTGTTTGTGTGTGTGTGCACCTTCACTCTGTTTTTTACCATGTCTCATAAGTTCGTGAACTGAAATTGCCGGCCCACTTACATCACTATAGTCTGCTGTGTAACATCAGCACAGTGTGTGCAGAGCTAAAGCTCCCAGCTCAGCTTCTGCTTCCAAATCAGTCCACAGTCCCTTCCAGTGAACACCTGTCGGCTATTTCGGGGTTCTCCTGTTCTCAGGTCTCTAGCTGACAGTGCCCCCTGCTTCCCTCAGCTTCCTTGTGCACGGGCAAGCTCAGGAGATACCTTCTTACCTGTTTTTTTGGTAAATGTTGTACACAGACTTTCAGGTTTTCTGTCTAGTGGCTCTGTTTATCTGAGGGAACTTGGAAAATTCTAAAAACTGTTGCTGCTACCTCCCCAGAATTCCATTTGTTGAGCTCCATGCTGTGCACAGGGAGAGCAACTTGCTTCCACAGGGTGACTCTGAGGGGGAGATGGGGGTCTGGCCCAAACAAAGGGATGGCCAGGAAGGGGACAATAAAGGAGACTTTGAGAACAAGGAATCTAAAGGTCTTGGTGAATGTGGATGGAAAATCAAGGCTGGGCGCAGTGGCGCATGCCTATAATCCCAGCAGCTCAGGAGGCTAAGACAGGAGGATCTCGAGCTCAAAGCCAGTATCAGCAATGGCGAGGCACTAAGCAACTCAGTGAGATGCTGTCTATACATAAAATACAAAATAGGGCTGGGGTGTGGCTCAGTGGCCAAGTGCCCCTGGGTTCGAACCATGCACCAAAAAAAAAAAAGAAAAGAAAAGAAAAAAGAAAATCAAGGAGAACCCCAGGTAACCATCACTTTACCTAATTGGGAAACACTACATGACTTTACGCACTTAACGTCCCAGGTCCCAGGACAAAGGGGGTGCTTATGCTCCACATGGACACAGCTCCTGCCCTCGTGGAGTTCCTGGTCCAGTGGGAGGCAGATACACACAGGCAGCCACCATGAGGTATAGAATCACCATGATGGTGCCTGGCCATAGGACTGAAAGGACCAGGTCCTCTAAACAGAAATGGGAAAGGCCGAGAGCCGGGCACAGTGGCGCACGCCTGTAATTCCAGCAGCTCAATAGGCTGATGCAGGAGGATCGTGAGTTCAAAGCCAGCCTGAGGCGCTAAGCAACTCAGTGAGACCCTGTCTCTAAATAAAAGACAAAATAGGGCTGGGATGTGGCTCAGTGGCCGAGTGCCTTTGAGGTGAATCCCTGGTACCCACCCACCCCTCCCCCACCCCCCAAAAAATAAGAAAGAAAGAAAAGGGAAAGGAAAGAGAAGGGTCTGCTTGTGGGGAAAGTGGCAGTTTATATTTCAAGAGGTCGAGTCGTGTGAGTCCTGAAAGCAGAGCCATCTCCTGGAGAGGGACTCCTGTCCCCTCCTGGGATAGCAGTAAGGAGTCTATGAGAACCTGTGGACGTTCCAAGGAGAAGAGCAGGCTAGGAGACCAAGCCCTGACCTCAGAAGGTGGCTGCCTTGAGAGGGAGGGAGGAGCCATGGGAGTAGGAGGGAGAGCAGGACTCGGGGCACCTTGTTCAGAAAGCCCTTAGCAGAGGGGACCAGAGGAGGGGGTGGGATGACAGTGATGGATCCTGCTGAGTGCCTGAGAGAGGACAAGGACGGAGACAAAGCCAGGATCTAGGGTCATGGACAACTTTTGAGTGTGGTTTCACTCAATGACAATTTGGTCACAAGAAACAGAAACCCACTCAGAAAAGGGAGAGGACGGTTGTTGAACAGATGCAGTCCTGGGCTGCACCAGCTCTTTCGCCCTGGCTCCCAGCAGCCACTCGCCTCCTTCTGATCTGAGGATGGACTGGCCTCCTCTGCTGGTCTCCTTGTCCTGTCCACCCCTAAATTTCGTGTGCATGGGCACAGGCTTCTCTGCCACCGATCTTCACCCCATTCTGCATGGCTTTGTGAGGAGGGTCCTCCCTGATTGAGTTTCAGGATCTCTATCAAATATCAAGAGAGAAAATCTGATCAGCCTAGCTTAAGCCGGAATCCAGACCTAGTCCAATTAGCAGTCTCCAGAGTGGGTTTGCATGGTAAGCCAAGCCATGGTCAACAGGGGGTGATGGAGGGAGGGGGGAGGTGGAAGGGGTGAGGGATGAGCAGTTTTTGGAGTCAAGAACCAAGGCAGGCCTTCAGAAATTGCTGCCCAAGCATGTGGTTTTATGGGAGCAGAGAGCTGAAAGCTGGGTTGCAGTGGTGGGTGCCCCTAATTACATGTGCCCCATGGCCCTGTGGGGGACAGCATGCCACCTAGAGGCTACTGGGGAAGGGAGAGCGCCAGAGAAAATAGAATCACCCAGACTGCAAGTGTACTGGCCAGCAGGAGACCAAACTTATTCTGATGCTGACCAGGGTCCAGTGCTCTGATTCCCCAAAGAGGCCACAAGCCCAGGAGATATTCGTCCATTTCAGCACAGGAGGTCCAACCCAACCCCAAATGTAGGGCCTGGAGACCAAGACAGGGGGTGGTGAGGCAGCAGGAGAGCAACTAGATGCTGCCCAGGGAGGAGTAACAGGGAGACCACTCTTTGTGGGCTCGTCTGCATCCTTAGCGGGTCACTGGACAATCCACTGTGCCCTCGTTCTTGAGTTCTTAATTCATCTGTGTTTAGAAGAGGTGGTGAACAATGTGGCTTGATTATCCTAGTCTGCAGAGGCAAATTTGCTCCTGTTTTTGTCTGCTGAATTGCCTGTGTATAGCTGGAAAAACACAAAACAGTCGCCCCTTGCCAATGCTTCAGAGATGTTATTAATAATGGTGTTTAAAACTGACACAGTGGAGAGAGTGGCTGTGGTGAGTGAAGACTCTGAGTTTGTGACCTAAAAAGGGGAAATTCTCTCTGCACTCAAGTCAGGGAACAGCCTCAGCAGAGCTCTGTGCCAGAATTGGTGCCAAAGAACCGCAAGATTAAACCTAGCAACTCGGCTGCTGTTGTCCAAGCAAAGAGAGTCGGTTCTCTGGAGCCAAACCACCTACGTCTGCACAAAGTTCAGGAGCAACTGATACTGCTTGTGTCCCAGTATTCAGGGGCTCCAAAGAAATATCAGGGCTCTACCAAGGACTGGCCCTTTTAAGAGTGGTTCCTTTGCTATTTACTATTGAGTTGCAAGACTGGGCCATGAAATCTGCATTTCTTCTGGGTGTGCTCATATATATATGAGTTTTGAAAAGTAAGGATGTCTGTGAAGCTGGGTAGGCCATTTCTAAGTGGGACCAAGATTTTCATTTTGAGGGCACTTAATTTTGCAGTTAAATCTCTGGGAACTTAAGAAACATGGCTCTGTGTTCACTTTTGGTTGTTCAGAAAACTGTTCCTGGGACTAGACTTCTGCTGAAACTGGTAATGAGATTCTAGGTAGAATCTGACGCAGTGATTTTGTGTCTCATATTTCATAGCAAACAGATGAGACAACCAATCCTTGAACACTGGTTTGTCACAAGATCATTATCTCATGTGTTCTCTGAAGAGCACCTGGTGACATTATTCTCTGCACTGCCCGGTGGAAGGCTCACTGTCTGGCATTTGTCAGAGTGCCCTGCCTTCCCAATGCCAGCTTGCTTTACTGCCCCAAGGGATGTCAACATTTTGCAAATGTCTTATCTTCACTTAGCATAAACAAAGAGATTTCAGTTGGTGCTCTTGATCAACAGATGTCAACCTTGGAGAAGCAGTTAGAGAAGGAACAAAGCTTGGGGGTGACCAGTCCTTACTGCCAGAGTTTCTGTTGGGTGGACAGATCCCAGCAGTCTGGAACTGAGTTTTCCTTTAGGAACTGTGTTCACATATGGCAAGAAAAGCCCTTAGGCCCAAGTTCTAGAAATGAGGAGTAGTGATCAAACACACGGTACTAGGAACCAAACCAACATGGATGGAAAGAAAGGGTGGAGCTAGGATTGGAAGGCAGCACTTGAACTTGAGTGATCTGTTGGAGACTCTTGGGCCCCAAGTTTCACACCCAACAGGTAAATTCAGTTTGGAAAATGCAAATCGAAACTAGCTTACTTGGGACTGGGGTTGTGGCTCAGTGGCAGAGCGCTGGCCTAACAGGTGTGAGGCACTGGGTTCCATCCTCAGCACCACATGAAAGTAAATAAATAAAATTAAAGTATTGTGTCCATCTACAACTAAAACAAAAACAAAACTAGCTTACTTTAGTAGCTTGAATCATTGAAAGATTGTCTTTTTTTTTTAAAGAGAGAGAGAGAGAGAGAGAGAGAATTTTTTTAATATTTATTTTTTAGTTTTCGGCGGACACAACATCTTTGTTTGTATGTGGTTCTGAGGATCGAACCCGGGCCGCACGCATGCCAGGAGACCGCGCTACCGCTTGAGCCACATCCCCAGCCCCCTGAAAGATTGTCTTGATGTCTGCTTAGGAAGGGATGACCTAATTCCAAATCCTACTTTGATGGGGCAGAGACTGACATGGCCAGAAGTGACTCGGGGTGGGGGGGGTCCTCGTCACAAATTAGGGAAGGACTTCTTTTCCACCCTTCTACCCTCTTTCTTTTCTTCTTAAAATTTTCATTATGAACTTTGCAAGCATACACAAAAGTAGAGAGAACATTATAAACATCCTCATGTACCCATTACTGGTTTCAACCATGATCTACATATGAGCAATCTATTTTATTTATTTTTATTTTGGGGGTACTGGGGTTTGAACCCAGAGGTACTCAACCACTGAGCCACACCCCCAGCCCTTTTTTGTATTTTATTTAGAGACAGGATCTTGCTGAGTTGTTTACAGCCTCACTAAGTTGCTGAGGCTTTGAACTTGTGATCCTCCTGCCTCAGCCTCCTGAGCCACTGGGGTTACAGGCGTGCACCCTAGATGCATTTTTAACTTTGTTATACCAAATAATGTTTGTACATTGAACTTCCATCCTTCCCCTCTCATCTTTGATTTAGTCTTAATTGTGTATTTACATATTTAAAAATCCTCAACATCAGTCGTTTTGCTAAAGATTTTGCAGTCTTCACTTGATTGGATGAAATATATCTAGTAGATTTTTCATATAGGTGCAGAATTCAGCAAGTTATGTTGAAAATTGTTTTCTCTAGATTTTATATATGAAGAACAGCTCGACTGGATATTTTCAGGTTTTGTTTGTGTGTTGAGATGGGGTTGCTATGTTTGCCTAGGCTGGCCTCTAACTTGTGATCCTCCTGCTTCACCTTTCAGGCATCTGGAATTACAGGAATGCACCCATGTAAAGAGGTTTGTGTTTGTTTGTTTTGCAGCCTGGGGATTAAACCCAGACCTCTCGGGGGCTAGGCATGCACTTGATCACTGAGCTACACCCCCATTCCCTTAAAACTTAAAAGTGTTTCCACTGATATCTTACTTCATGCATTTTTTAAAAAATATGATGCCAGTTTGATTCTTTTGACTTTGTAAGTTATTTGATCTATTTATCTAGAGATCTTTTATCTTCCAACTTTGAAATCCAATACTTTTGCTGGGATGTGTCTTAGAATTCCTTGTCCTGGGTTCCTTTCCCTAGGCACCCAGTGAGATTCACTGGGTAGGTTCAGGTGCTGTATTTGTCTGTTTCTGGAAAGTTCCTTCAGCTGAAGCTCTAGCTATCCTGCTGCCTTGTCTTCACCTCAGGCTCTCCAACAGTGGGAATATGATTCCTTGATTCCTTCTTTTCCTGCCTCTCTTGTTTTTATACTTTCCAGTTACTTCCGAATGTTGTTTCTCGTTCCTTTCCCCGTTTCCCTGATTTCATTCAGTGCCTTCTATTAAACTTTCACTTGAGTCTGTTCCTCCCCGGGTGCCTTGTGATGGGTTTACCTCTGAGATAGGTTTGTCTTTTTCTCCTATTTCTTTCCTGAGTTCCACCAACAACCTTCTCATCCCTCCCTGATTTGGGTCCATCTCTATGTGCATTTTTAATTTCTGATTCAAGGTGCTTCTCTGTGCCCAAGTGAGGATCCTGAATTCTGACAGGAGAGCTGACTTAAGATCTCGCTGTGCTTTCCAGCGGGCACAGGGCTGTGAGGAAGGTTTCCCTGGGTGATGTGTGTGACATGCTGTTGCCTCTCTGTGCCGATAGCCAGCCTTCCTCTTGTCTACTTCTGCAGTCCTGGACGTCTCCTAGGATCCTGGTTCAATAGCACTCCTTCTGTCTTTGCAGCCGGGGTCCTGTTTGTGTGCCCAGGTATCAGGAGAGTTTCACTTCACGGCTTTCTTTCCTTGTTAAGGACTAAATTTTCTGGGTTTTTCCCTTCCCCGGTGAATACCCTGCTGCTCTAGGGTGCTTCTGCTGATTTTTGCCTTTTTTCTCCCTCAGAATCCACACATTTTGAAGACCATGCCCTTGAATTGTGCCTGTCCCTTGAATTCCCCTGTGCTGTGGAATCCCTTCCGCCCAGGTCTTGCTCAGACCTGCTCAGGCACCTTTTGGGGGCTTTTCTGATTTAGGGTGGGCTTGTTCTGACCCTAACTCCTTCAAGCCAGACTCCATGCAGCGGCTCCATCCACAGGTCTTCCCAGGAGCTGCAGATATAAATATCTGCAATGGGTGGGAGCCAGGTATTAGGAATGGTGCGGGGTGGGGGGGGATTTTCTGACTTTGCTCTTTTTTATTTAATGATGATGAAAAAGTTTGTGTCTATTTATTTTCTCATTATTTTATATCACGTTGGGAGAAAAGTTGGGAGGAAATATCGAGAGAAGGATAATTAGGATGCCTCTATTATTCAGCTAACTTTAAAACATGCAAATATGATGAGGATATTGTTCTTGCTGGGCGCAGTGGTGCACACCCGTCACCCCAGTGCCTCGGGAAGATGAGGCAGGAGGATCACAAGTTCGAGGCCAGGCTCAGCAACTCAGAGAGGCCTGTCACAAAATAGAAAATGAAAAGGGTGGGGGTGTGACCCAGTAGTGAAGCACTTCTAGGTTTATCCCCCAGCCTCCCCCACCAAATGATGTTGTTCTTATTCTTTCTGGGGTGAAGTACAGACGAGCCAAAGTCCTGTTTAACAAAAGTCCTGCTTATTAGGACTTTTAAATTACATAA